CATTAGAATGAGGGACTGCGTAATCAGCATTTCCTACAGACCGCCTTCGACTCCCTTAAAGAAGGACTCGTATTCTCTCTCTAAATTGGGCGCATAGACCTGTAACAAGGTGAGCGCTTTAGCCTGTTGTAACCTCAATTGAAGGATTGTCACACTTTCGCTGTCAGGTTTCAAATTTTTCATGCGCTTCAATATGGGCGCTTTTCAGCAGTTATTGTAATTTTACCATCATCGCTATCTTATCAGTGCAGATTGAATGCGACAGCTGATCTTGACCGTACAAGTGAGTAAAGCATAGCAGCAACAGCGAGTTCTCACTTCGACAAAACACGATATTACCGTATTCATTTCCAGTGCTAAAGTTCGGTTGATTGGTGTTGTTGCAGGCACGCATTGTTAACAATGCATTATAAGTGGAATTATTTAAACTTCGACTTGGGACTAAAATTCTTTTTAATACAAGACGCTGAATGCCCTTCGACGGCGATTTAAAAAAAGGAACGAACTGAACTCGTTGCTCTCAGACTGGTCTGCAGAATGCTCGCGTAGTTGCATGCCAATAACTCCGTAACACGCAACCACGCTGCACTGGAGTTGTTCATTGGATAACGTATCAACTCCAGTAACATTGCATGCGACACTCTATAAGATAAAAATAGACGAAAGCATCATTTCTGGCTTTAATCCAAAAAAGCTGTCCATCATGCCCAGCAGATCTACAGCCTTAATTTGCACATTCTGAAATAATTAAACTGCCGCATTAGTTTAGAATTGATTGCCTTTAAAGTACTGCTGCACAACCGTTCAGTAAACAGAAGATAGGGACTGAAGGCTTTATAGAGGATGAAATGTGCTGTTTGAATTCCGCAATCTGGTCATCTGAAATCAAAGACTGTTTGTTTCGAAATTGGCTAAATAATCAAATGTTTAGGTCGACACGGTGGAACTGAGGCAGAACCAAGATTGCTCATTCAAACGCATGAACATCAGTCCGAAAGTGGTGCTGCTGTCTGTGCTGTTTCCCCGTGGCCGTGTCCTCTTTTTCAAAATTTATCAGGCAAATGGCGTATTAAACTTCCATCTGCTGTACTCCGTGAAGAAGATCTTAACAATGACGCGAGCCAAGATCGCCTACGCTGCGAAATTCAACGACAGCATTGTTGTTATCCCGACGGTGTTAGGCTGTGGCTACAAGTGGTTCCCTAACAAACCACTGTTGATCGAATTAGACAGTGGAAATACGACGCAATTCGAACTGCAAGGGCCCACTCCGCAGTGGTCATTTAATGGCCCTGTGACTGTTTTACAGAAAGGTTCACATCTTCTGTTGATTGGCGGTAACGTCGCGACTGGCCTAAGTAGCGTCAAGTTCAGTCCAGAAATATGGACGTTCGACATGCTTAACATGACGTACACGAAGCTGCCACTGTCTGTTCCAAAGCCAGTTGCCAATTTCAAGGCTTGCTCCTGTCTCGATCAGATGTCAGGAAATCTTTTCATCAGCGACATCGAAAACGGCGTTTTCGCAGCAACAGTAGATTTATAAATTCCTTTTGCGGCTGTTCGAAAATGAACAAATATCGACATCAGTTGTAGATTCCAGTTTTGCCCAATATTTGAATCATTAAAAAATCGAACATTTCCGTCCCTGATATTGTGATGTCTGGCGTCATGAAGTCATAATTGTAAATTTCAATGTGGAGTTATATAGTCGATGGACTACATGTCAGTACCTCCAGTTTACTGGCTTAACGCTTGCAAGGAAGACAACTAGTTTAAAAAAAGTAAATGAAAGGGAACTGGGCAATGTCAAACACTGCAGTTTTGTGAGAAACGTAATTCTGCAACAGAAACAATCAAATTTATGATTGATAGACCGTTTCAACTGTGTACGTTCACAATAAGATTCAACTGCGTACATTCAGAGTAAGACTGCATTTAGAATCGAACTTTATTATGGTATTTTTGCTAACAGGTTTTCTGTAATTTCATTTAATAACCAAAAGTCGTCTGTACCCTTTATGAATCCTACTACGGTGCCTACATCGCAGGGAGAGAGAGACAAAAACAAAAATAAGGGGTCGAGTGACGGAATACTTTGCTTAATCATGAACTTTTAAATTGTTGCCAACTAGGTGATGACAACGAAGAGTTGACAGACCACCTTATGATTTGCATGCAAGTCTGTATAGGAAAAAAACGAAGGCAAACGGAACGAATAAAGGCCACCGCGATTATAATGGGAACATGCTACACTGCTAAACAACGACAAGGAAATTCAGCTTTATAGCTTCCAACAGTGTAAAACTGATAATAAACAAAAACTTTTAAGGTAACAGGTAACGTTTGAACAGGATACATAGTAAAATGGGTAAAAATAGTTAAAGAATTCTAAACACGCTGTATCAATAAATAACAAACTAGAAAAAGAAAAATATCTCACTGATAAAACTCTGATGATGTAAGACAGTTGGTCAAATGAATATCACAGCTGATAAGTAAAAATGAGGCATACTTCTTATAAGTGATGCAGAAGCACTACATATTTAAGTCACATCAATAACATCGTTGCTGATTCCGCACTCATGCACTTCTTTTCGGATCGAGACACGGCGCAGCCGGCACCTGCGTCAGGGCCTTGGTTCGCTGTTTGCCTGCACGGCGCTGCCGCCTGCGTTGCCGTCAGAAGGCACAAGAACACTGTCAGGCGTTATTTTCATGGTCATCTCAGCAGCATACGAGTTGAAGTCGCCGTCGCTTTCGAAAGTGTCATTGCTTACTACAGAATCGAGTCGAGATCGAGAAACCACGTTCTAAAACAGGCAGTTCATCAGCAAATGGTTCGCAGTAACATCACATAATCGTTTTACTATGTCGTCACAGTCACCGGCGGCGTCGCCGTCCAGCAGGCTTCTGCTCAGCTCTTCCCTGGTCCATTTTTCAAGCTGATTACTCTCAAGCGATGACAACTTATTATTTAGTTCGGCTATCGTCTCCAAAAGTTCTGCCTCTTTCACTTTCGAAACAACCGAAAGTTCCTTCAACTAAAATGGAAACAAAAAATCATATTTGTCGCGTTCTAAGTGATATCAAGAAAAGTACGCTCACTGCAAAATTTAGCAGAAACAAATCACCTCAAATCAGTAAACGAGTCGTAACGTAAGTTACAACTCACATAAGATTAAGATTAGACCGACTTAACTTCATTAATGCTCATTTTAGTAACTATTTTTGAGTAAGTAGGTATGTAATGTTTAGATGGATGAGACACGCCACCGGCTGTCATCACGATTTATCATCACGGGCCTTCATAAAATTCAACAGCAGCTTAAAAACAAAAGACAAACACTGTTAGTCTGCATCGCATAAACAGCCGTAACGTCAGGCCTGAGGTCAAAGACAAACGATGCCGACACTTTTCCAATGCAGATAGATTCCATTGACAAAATTCAACATCGCTAGAAGAAACGCAACAAAAATCCGTTGAAAACAGTTTGCGCCAATACGCGAGCCAAAAGCAAACCCTAAATTTAACACCGGTGCCCATGTAGAGAAAGTGGGCAACGATGCACAGTCAGCGAATGAAGCTGTGACAATGAGGAGCTGAAAGATTGCTTATCTCAAAGTAAATTTGTCTTACAGTTACAACAGTTAAAATACAAAGAAAAGAACTGTGGACCGTCTTCTACATTACTCATCAAAGTAAGCATAGGTAAAATCAGTGATAAAATATTTTCATCATTCAGTCACCGAGCTTTATTTCTACCAAGCGGCGGTGTCATTAATTGCTCATGGAGAAATGAACTGTATCAAGTGCGGTCCAGACTCGTAACGTAGAAACCGAGAAATTCGCAGCACCCACTTTAAGCACTATGCAAGGTAAACGCCGTGCTGCATACTGGTACAGTAATACCCTGAATTACGTTACCTCGACTTACGTCGATACGTACTTACACTGTAAGCGTATTTTAAATAATAAATGAGCAAAAATTTTAATTAAAATGGTGCATTTATTTGGCAACCCTGCGCGATGAACGAGTATGCCCGAGTGTGCCGGAACCTCTCCGAGTTACTTCCACCTGCGACCACGGACGGCCAAGGGCAGTCAGTGCGTGTGCGTTGTGTTCATGTAGTGCAGTGTGTTTACGTCATAACGCCACGCCAATTTAAATTTCGAATGGTTGCCAATTTAACCCATTATTTCTTCAAAAAGAAACCAAACAACGTCTCCGTCTTCAACAGAGAAAAGAAAAACGCAGCCTTTAGAAATCAGACTGGAAATTAAGCTTTTCGAAGGCGAATCAAAAGCCTGCTACGAAAATGTCTAGAAAATGAACCCTGCTCAAATTACTGTGAGGACTATAATCAAGGACAAGGAAAAGATTCGCACAGAGGTGAAAAATGTTTGATCGCTCAATTCAACATTTATTCGAAAACGCCATGGACTTGTTTCTGAAAAGAAGACTACTAATAACTTGGTGTGACAATAAAATTAGAGTGAAAAATTGCCCTGTAAATCAAAATAAGGTTTCAAAGGCTGAAGGATGAATCTGGAAATACTGAGAAGAATGAAACCTTTGTAGCCATCATTATCTGGTTCAGCAGATTAAAACAGCACGGTGACTGGCACAGCATTGCAAGGACAGGGGAAGCGGCGAGTGCCGATAAAGAAGCTGCTCCTTTTTCCAAGAACACTGAAAAAAATTATAGAAGATGGACAGTACTGCTGAAAATTTATTTTGAATGTTGACGAAACAGGGCAGTTCTGGGAAAAAATTCCTAGAAGAACGTTAATACCTCGCGAGGGAAAAACTTTTCTCAGATTTAAGGCGGCAAAAGATGGGCTCATTGTGACGCTTGGTAGGAACGCTGCCGAAGATTGCAAATTGAAGCTACTTCTGATCTCTTGGTCAGACAATCCTAGCGCTCCGAGGAATAAGTCCAAAGCTGACCTTCCAATGATATGGAAATCAAATGCTAAGGCATGGGTCACTGCCTCTGCCTTTGAAGACTGCTTTGGCCAGTGTTTTATCTCTGACGCTGAGCGCTACTGCCGCTTTCAGAACCTACCTTTCAAAGTGATGTTATTTCTCGACAACACTTCAGCGTATCCTCCAATAACTCTGATGAATCTTGATCCTCGAGTGTTTTTCTCCAAATACAATAGGTTTGACTGAACCAGTGGACCAGAATTAAAACATTTAAGGCTACTGTACCCGATGATTCTCTGCAAAATTTAATGCAGATATGAGACAAAACAATGAGACGACTGTGAATAATTTCTGCAAGGCTTTCAATGCTCTGGATGTAGTGAGGATCATAGGAAACTCGTCGGCTGATGTCTGCGGAAGAACCATGAACGATGAAAAAAGTTCTGTCCGTTCTTACTTAGTCAAAACCTGATCACGGCTCCAAAAATTATTCACTTTGCTGAAGTAACAGAAGTAACCGCTCTTTTCACAACACTATAGGGAGGCTGAAGCTGAAAATGTCATGGAGTTATTGGACCTCCATAACGAAGAGCTCACACTAGATGATCTTATAGAAAATCATAAATGTAATGCAGCAGAACGAGCTGAAGAAGCTGAACCGGAACAGATCATCACGACGACAGTCGGAAAGTTAACTGAAAGCCTGATCTGATCGAAGCCTGAAGGTTCTAAAAGAAATCGATTCGAATGAAGACCGAACAGCAACTGTTAGACAAGGTATAAAGAAGGCGTCGATCGCATTATAAAGAAGTCTTACGGGAGAAAAATCGTTATCCCGCAAGACTTCACTGCTGAACTTTTCAGAACCATCCTCCTCAAAAAAACTGCTGTATGCTTATTTTACTTTACTTCGAGAATTTTTGCAATAAAAATTTTATAATTCGTCCACAATTATCGCATTTTTATTAATCGAACCGACTGCCAAGAATCAGTTATTACACTTTAGCATGTAACTGTATGAACTTTTCTATCACGACTTACGTCGTTTCGACTTTAGTCGCCGACTGCGGAACAACCCACGACGTAACTTTGGGGTATTACTGTATTTCACTTTTATCCGTCTTGGTTCAGTCAGACTACGACTGCCAAACAGCGCGCCAGATTTGTTGTACTGGTGGTTACTGAAGCTTGCGTCTGTGGAGAGCAAGTTCATACACAGGAGAATATGGAGGAGCGAAATTTTGACAGTAAGCCACAGTGAACTAGACGTTATCATTGTGGGTACCTTCCTGTCTCTTAGGATGAAAATGGTAATTATCTCTATGGAACAAGTGCTTGGAAGGATCTTTACCTGTCGCTAACATAAACGGACCAAGAGGTCAGTATGTAACAACAACAGGATCTGCACATTGCGCTGATTATCAAACTGAATAATTAGCTCTCGGATGAGCTAAGGCAAACTGTAGTCCTAACAGGCGTTCACATCGATCAGCATGACCATGCGTGTCATCTGATTTAGTAGGACCACGCCAGAACACCATGCTGTGTCTGTTGTTCGCAAGCGAAAGACTTACCATCCGTTTATCGGCTGGCAGAACCATAATAACGTGAGACAAATTCCTTGCTCATGCGGATTCACCACAAAAACTTGGTTTTTTTATTAACTGAACCAGGCACATCCGCAGCTTGAAACCGGCCTCTTATCACTGTGACGTCTCATCCAGTGCAGCCTGGATGAATATGAAAGAGGCGGATTCAATTCAGAGAGCTGCCATTTCTACAGTTCAATAATCACTGCAATGCAGCAAAAATGTTGAAAGCTGGGAAAGTAGCGATGTCATCAATCAGAAAAGGTTTGCTTATGGAAACGGTTTAAGGTAATTATAACAACATCGTTCGATCAAATCATGAACAGAAGACCACGGTTACAAGCGAATGAAATTAATGAATTACGTAAGAAGTTATCGAACTCTAGAAGAAACTTGCTAGTTCATAGTGGAAAGAAAGCAACGAAATAGCAAAGTGCGATTGAGACAGTCACAGAAATGCATTATGCCGAAACATTATCCTGCCTCTAATTTGTCCACATAGGAATATTTACAGAATAGCCATCAACGAAAGTCTCTAATCTCTGAAAAGAATAAAACAGAGCATAAGTTTTAGTCAGTATCGTAAAAACTACTTCAACAGTGATGAAGCGAATCTGCCACGAGTACTGCCATAAGCAATGAAACGGTCACAAACTTCTTCATATTCAGTGATCATTAATACCACCATAGTGTCACCACATACTATAAATCATGCTACATAAGAAGCCGAAGCATGGCAGATCACTCTTAGGCGCTAGTTAGCAAGATTCTAGGACGATCCCATGCCACCATGATCTTCCCTACCTATCATCAGTATATTTTGACCGTATTTTTTGTCCCGTATTTAAAAGTCATTGCTAAAAACGAACGATTTTCATTCAGTGAACCAATCTAATTTATTAACATGAAATATTCGAAAATGCACTAGAATAGTTTTAGAGACAAGAAAAGAAACGTGATGCTGGACACTTAAGCCAGTTAGTGAACGACTGTGCTGCGGTCACAAACAGGCCGCACGCCGTGGCGTGGTAGCAGAGTACTTAAGAGGTCGGCTTCGAAACAAGGAAGTGCTGGGTTAGATTAAGGTAGTGCGTCATCTTGGTTTTAAAAACGGATTCCACTGAACAACGAATTTACCACATGCTGCTACATACCAGGGCTGCTCAGTCAATATAGCGTTAGACTTACAACCGAAAGGACCCGGGTTCCAGCATCTGTCGAGGTCACTAGCCTATCTTCCGACGTTGATAAATAAGTACCAATCTGTGGGAAAACAAGTAGCTGCTGTCGACTTTACGTTTAAAATAAAGCGCTCCTGGCTGATGGCATGGAGATAGAAATCCGTCTCACCATTAACTTCAAATAAAGCTGGGCACCACAAATGGCCCGTCGTGACAGTAAAACGAACCCGACATTCCAACAATATAAACGTTGCTTTCCCTCTTCCACGTCGCGCCAATAGAGGGATAACGGAGTCAACAATGCAGTGTGACGCGGATAAAGAAGCGAGAAGCATAACCTGAGATTCGATGTCCGCTGTCTTTCTCCGTTCATCGGTGAGCTGCGAGTGGTACTCTTTCTCTTTTGCCTCGAACGCCTGCAGTTCCGCCTGACAGCGCTTGTTTTCATCATCCTGCCGCCGGATCTGGTTGCTACATACGTGATTCTGCGTCTCTAATTCCATCACTCTCTGTCGCATTTCTTTCAATTCCGCCAATGTGTCTGCCTCGCGAATGCGTACACACATCAGCTGATCTTCGAGCTCCTTGACTGCAGCTGAAGTAAAAGCGTTTTCCTTTTGCTTCGTTTTCTTTGCGATCGTGTTCACAACAGAGTTGGGGCTTGGACTCGGCTCCGCATGGCCTGTGTTTGGCGTGTACAACGACGTGTAACACTGAAAAAGCATGACCTAGAACTAAAGCAGTGGAGTTACACGGTCAAAGGCCTTTATTGCCTTCCACGCTTCGTCAAGTTCGGTGATTTTCTGCCGAAGTTCCTTCAGCGAAAGATTTGCCTCCGCTTCGCGCATTTTAACCGCGATTAATTCTTCCTGCAGGTTAGCTATGCAATTGTCAGGAGGCATCTCTTGAAGACGCTTGTTTGTCTAGGCAAAACAGTGCAAACGAACGTTCATTTAGTAAAAACTTTGAATTACCGATTCCAGCTCAAGAATGCGATTTTTAAGATCCTTAATCGTCGACTTCATATCAGCCTGAATAACTTGAGAATCCACTAGTTCCTGTTGAAGGGTGTGAATATGCTCGATCATGTGATGATCGTCAACTTGTACAGCAAAGTCGACTAAATCTTCCCGGGTCTATAACAGTCAAAGGAGTTAGAATAAGGGTTGCTTTCAAGCGTAAGTAACAATGTACGCAGTGTTTGAACAGTTAAAATGAAAAAGGACTTTCGAAATCAGAAGATTAAATGGTACTGGCTTTCATGACCATGGCAAAAGAATTCGTACTCCACTCAATCAAACAAACACTGTCCATCCATACCCGCCGCCATCCATCCATACCCATGGTGATTTCGGCTATGCGATCATTGATGCGACTTCGTACTCACTGTGAAGTTTCTCAAACTTAAACGAGAGTACAGAAAACATTCGATTCGTCTCAATTACTGATAAAAAGTTCCAAAAACTGCCTAGTCCTTATACAAAAAATTGCACTGAGTTCAGAAAAAATTTGCATTCTGAGTAACTGATTAAATGTGACATGAACAGAGCTGCGGATCCTGTGTACACCCTATTTGGGGCATATATGTGTGGGAAAGTTATCAGAATATCGGTCCTCCTTCACTTCCATAACTGGGCTAAATTTACACCCTTTTTATGAAACTGATGCGCGATGTTGATCTCCGTTTGTATGCCATCAGCTAGGAGTACCATACTTATAAAGACAGAGTCTACAGTCATGTTGCAAGCGCAGCGTGTAGTGTAGTGTTTCTTTCACACAGAGTGGTACTCATTTATCAAACTCGGAAGGAAGAAAGGCAGTGACCCAGACCGGGGCTTGATCTGGGGACCAACCGGTTGTGAGTACGACGCCATACCGAAGGAGCAAGCCCGGTTTGAATCAATGTGTGGCAAATTCCGTGCTCAAGAAAATTAGTGAATAGGACAAAGATTACCCTCGAGTGGAATCGAACACCGCACTTCCGGAGTTCGAAGCACACCTATTAGACACGTATATGCATAGGTACTTGGTAAAATAAGTTGTTCGTTTCGACTGACATTGTGGAATTGAGTCAGAGAGCGAACAGAAAATCGTAAATTAAAATCACTCTGTATATGAGTTGCAGGAAGTAACATACATATGAAGATATACTTGTGTAATGAAGTTCTAAAAGCTTCGAAACACCATAACCCGAATTACTCTCAATCGCGCGCTGCTCCAGATGGACAGAACGCAAGTGATAGTATGAACTGATCAAGATGCCACTGAAGAGACTCGCACGGCGGATTCTTTTCGCAAAATCATATGAGAATCGATCGAAGGGCACAGTGAATATACTCGGCCCTATATCATATATAACACTATGTACATAAACAGCGCTACGTTCATACACTGTTCATCGCTTAAGATGAATTGCGTTTCCAGAAACGACGACGCTAAGCGGATTAGCATTATATATGATTAGCTTCGCACCGTAATTATTGAGTTGCATTCATAACATCGCCATTAATTACCGTTAAGTAATATGTGCACTTCTTATTAGTTCAAAAATTAAAATCCGGTACAAAAGAGAGCGTTAGAACGAATCAGCGTTGCAACATTATCATTCAACTCAGCAAAAAATTATGAAGAACACATTGTCTCTTTTTCAAAAAGACTGACAATTCTCTGCCGCTGACCTTACCTTTGACGACAACTCGCGTATCGTTTCGAACGCCTCCTCAAGTTTCTTCTGCGTCGAACAGTTTAGCTCTCGTAAGGTGTACATTTCGTGCGTCACGCCCAGAACCTTGTCAGATTCCTCCGCTAAAGCCACTTGCCGCTCTACTAGTTTATCCGCCAACGAGGCACTTTCCTCAAAATGAAGACAGTGTCGGTACAAGAACGTTATCTTTACAGATGTAAAAATTACCTGCTCAAGATATTCCACTTTTTGTCTTAACAAACGATTTTCGGTTCGCAGACCCTAAAGACGTCATAA